TAAGCCAAAAACAGTACTGTATCAATCTATCTGCATTCTCTATCATTTATCCTTGCTGCTATATATATACTGGAAAACGGAAATTCCAAGAAATTGAATTGAAAATAAGTGAGATTCTTTGAGAAATAATAACCTTTAATGGGTACATTTTCGACTCTGGTTCCTCAGATCGTCGACAGACTTTTGGGCTTCGTATGACGACGAGCTCAAGAACCAGACTCGAAAAAGTGCACATTAGAGGTTATTCTTTCCGAAAGAATATCCATTATTTTCAATGTATATATATATATATATATTGTGGCCCTGAGATATACGTCGACCGCAGGTTGGTTCACTTCTTACGGGTTCCTTCAGTTAATCGCAACTGCTGACCCGTTTGATTAAACAGTTTGCATCTAATAGTCATAATGTAACAGCTGGTACAGTAGCCTATGAATTGGACGACAATTTGTCCCTGGGTGCCTAACCCTACCATTATTTACTCCAAAAGTATAACAGAAAACTTGTTTATGTATTACATGTAGAATTATCTCGCACGTCATGGCTCAAATATTCCCGCCAGGGCTGCGATCAGCGTAATAATTTCAAACTCGAGTTGTCAGATAATATCCTCCACAGAAGAGTCTCTGAGGTTGAGCTCTAGCAATCCATCAATTCCCTCGCTATCTGACTGCGGTTGTCATCGATACTGCATCACCGGGACAATGGGGATTGGCGATCTGACCATAAACCAGCGTGACAGCATATGCGTTCACGTCGAAATTTGAACACATTTCAGAAGATCAAAATCCTTCTTCCTTTTAACTTTAGAAATAGCAACGATTTCCCTCATAACCGATAGCCCATCTTGCAAACGGTGCGAGTCTGTGCATGTATATTCAGCGGAAGCTTTCCAGTCTCATTAGAAATAACCATTATCTTCCCTGGCATAATTGACAAACAACTGTTCCTAACTTTCTTGCCGGCATAAGGCATGAGGACGATTTTGTGTGAATAATTAGATGTTTTGGCAGATTTTAAATAAGTCATTTTGACACAACTGTCAAGAAACTCGGCATCTAAGTGGGATTCGAACCCACGACAACAAGGATGGTTAACTTGAGCCTGGAAGTTATCTGGTGGATTCTAGGTGGATTACTTAGGAAATTCTGACTGGGCAGTCAGCTAACTGCATCAGATTTGGTGGATTTCGGACTTTGCAGTAGTTTGGCCGGGTAAGTTAACCCAAACATGATTAAACTCACGTCTCCCGGTGGGGTCTCTTAGCTCATGTGTCTGGAGAGTTGGCTGTACTAAAGTCTTATATCGCCGTCTTGGGTTCAAATCCCACCGATCAAAATTTGATGAAAATCGATTTTTTTATGACATTCATAGTTTGAAGTTTCTGAAAGTTACAATACATCTTGCATCCTCCTGGCCAAGTTCACGGTTGCAGTCGGCTGATCGAGCACCTTTCACAACGCGTGAAAGAGAAGCCGAGACAAAAGGATTCATTTCGTCTAGAATGATGATAAGCTACGTCGAACTTTCATTCCTGGCACCCTGACTGTTTTGTATACTAACGTAAATCTGTCGAAAGAATTAGCCAAAAGTCTGAAACGCCGCGCATAAAATCAATAGAAGAAACTCATACTACTTAGATAGTCACTTTCTTCGGAGTGTAGCGTGCGCAGGCGGTCGGTAAGAAACGTGTTCGGAGGCTGGCATTCACACATTACTGGAACACCTTTACGGTATGGGACATGATAACTAATATGACAACCCTACTTAAGTAATCTATTGAAAGTGATAAAGCATTTCAGAAAGTCGGCTAACATTTCATGAGATGGCACATATACTAGGTGGTAGACGAAGTCATTTTCGAGCGTAAAATACACATTTATTAGTGAAGGCTGTTGACTATTTTCGAGTTTAATTACGTTTTGGGACACTAATTTGTCTGCTTTACTTTCATACATTAATTTGGCCTTTTAAATCTACGTTTGTGTTGCACTCATATGATAATAAGTTTATTTTTAGACTTGAAGTATTGAACGCCTGTCAGCGCATAACATTTCGGTACATTTTGAAGAATGCACGCACAACCTTGACTCCCTGGAACCTTACAAAGTCACTGTAGTCATAGTAAATGCGATGTATTACACTTGTAAAGTGAGTCCATTGTGTGGGTTTGCAAGATTTGGGTGTATGCAATCAATGTTCACCATCATGTGGTCTCTAAAGGGGGAAAGCACCAATAGATTTCGTGTATTCTGAAGAGAAACGTAGTGGTGATTGGAGCCCTCGACTCCGCGAGGATGTTGTGGACGTGAGAAAGCAAGCGTGATGCGAGATTTACTCAGCGTCATCTTGGCCAGTTGATTGGGTGTTGGCCGAGTTTGTGGGCGTCTGTGATTGGCTCGACTGCTCTAGCCGCTCGCGAGCCGTGATCACTTGAGTTCTAGCGCGCTGTGAGCATCAGAGTTAACGGCGATCGCGCGTGCTCGAGGCGAATTTTTACCCAATGGATATCAGAAGGGAACATCCGCTTTGTATTTGTCTTGAAGTTCAAGTCCTACGGTATTGTGACATACAGTGCGTGACCGATCTCATGAAATTTCGGTTGAAATTCTAAAATGTGTTTTTTATTAGGAAAAATTACTTAGGTGGGATTGTAATATTGCTTAGCATGCAGCAAAATCCTATAGCATTTCGGACTCATCAGAATGTCTGCTTTTGGATGTACTCATTTGGAATTTCTGCAGAAACCTCCATCTTAAAAAAAATGACTACTTGTATAGCATGCCTTGTTCGTATTGATTTGCGATGATCTTACAAATTCAAATATATTTTGTAGAAAACGTGCACAGGAATATGGCTTCTTTTACTCGTTCGGTAGAAAATCACACTGTATTCCTATTTTGTATCTAAAGAAAGTGAATCTTTTGGTTTTAAAAAAGTTTCTAATTAGGAGACCGAGCGCTGTCCACATATACAACATCGTACATGACCGTTTACCAATGCTTCTCGTGAAGTGTACAACACAGTCCGGATCCATTGCAAAATTTTACGAACTCTATATGATATCTTCTTAAAAGCATAGAGAAACACATGATTTCCTTACGCGAAAAGCATGTACCTTGTAAGCTGAAATCGCTAAACGCTAATGCAATGGCATATCTGGCTCAAAATTATTCGGGAATTAGAAAACTTTTTTAAAACCTAAATATACACTTCCTTCAGGTATAAAATAGGAAGACAGTGTGATTCTCTACCGAACGACTAAGAGAAGGCATATTCCTGTGCACGTTTTCTATAAAATATGTTTGATTATGTAAGATCATCGAAAATCAATACGAACAGGGCATGCTTATTAAGTAGTCATTTTTTCAGATCGAGGTTTCTGCAGAAGGTCCGAAAGGAGTGCATCTAAAAGCGGACATCTTGGTGAGCCCGAAACGCCATAGAATTATGCTGCATGCTAAGCAGTGTTTCAACCCAACCTAAGTAATCCTCCTAATAGATAACACATTTCAGAATTTCGACCAACATTTCATGAGATCGGTCACGCAATGTACAGTGATGTAAAAGGAATACCGTAGCACCAACGGTAGATAGATAGGGAGGGAGAGAGAGCTAAGACTGACTGAGGAAAGGCTGTCCGGTCTCTTTCGAGTGAAGTAGCACTCCCAGATTGGAACTATGGTGCACGGTCATCCGCAATACAGCCATGGTGTTTTTAGTTTTATTAGAGTAAATAATCCTATTAATGCCGCATGCTTGTTTTCATGGATTAAAAAGAACGCTATGAAGGATGATAGTGCCCTTAAAACGGGTCCTTTGGAGATGCGCTCGACAACACGATGGTTATATTAGCGCGCGGCACACTGCAACAATGCTGACCAGATTCGGCGCATCACAAAGCGAACGGTAGGTCTGTGCAATGGCTCATCACCGCGTCAACCTTCTGCACTAAGTCCTAGCGTCTGCTGGCCGACTAACAAAGAGAAGAGAGGGTGATGTCGACCCTATTGAATCCATTTCCACGGCACATCAACACATTCTCACGGCAAAGCATCCGACGAGCTACCAAATAATCCCGACGGACTGAGTAACGTGGCCGTATCATGACGGAGAGTCAGGCTGCAATGACTCCTTCTGAAGGCTGCCTCTGTGGCGTCCCCCCAGACGGGATGCGCGTCGCCCACAGCTTCGAGAACTCGATACATGTCTGAGGGACCGGGCTATGTGGGGCACGCGTAAACTTGCAGTTTATATTTCTCACTCATTGCGCCTGGGTCCGCCTCCGGCTGCCCCAACTCTGTCTTCCCACCTTGCTCAGGTGAAGGAGAGAGGAGAGTACGTCAGATGCTGTGAAAGTCTGCTGTCATTTCAAAATAATTCACTTTCAAGCCACCGTCCCTAGTCGACCATGCTCCTAGATCATATGGTGGACATCGGCGTTCGCGACGGCCGAACTGTCCTATACGAAATTACTTCGGTTCTCCATCTAGGTCTCCGGCAATCGCATTTTGCATCGACATGCATTTAATCAGCCCACACGTTCTTAGACAATTAAGGTTAAGTATCTGGAAATATGTTGCATACATCGACTGAGTGACACCCTAGTTTGTGGATTGGTTGTTCGGTGATATTGCCCATACAAAATCTACAAAGCCATCACATGCCTCCTCTCACAACAGTCTAACGCCCAATAAGCGTAAACCTAAAGCGGGGATGCAAAGTGAAAATTGGCGCCAACTCTGTACTCAACACCCGCGCCACAAGAGGGAGCCGACCAATCAACGGCGACTTCAGGGGTATTTAAGCAGCCAAAACTGGAGAGTCAGCATAGCACCATCGTCTCTCTCCTCGCGATATTTGGAGGTGAGCTCTTACACGGTACTTTAAGGGGCGAAATGCCTCTCTTGTATGCAAGCGAGCTGTGCAGATACAATATCTTACTCCACTTGCCTAAACACATTGCTCTGCATAGCGTTTTAGATCGACAGACCAACGTGATGAAGGTCTTCCTGTTTGGTATTCTACTCATTCTTCCATTTGTCTTCTTTGGTAAGTTCCACCAACTGTGGCCTCTGATTATTCTGCAAAACCCAGCGCATGAAAGTACAAAACGTTTAGCGGCACCTTTCCTCCATTCATAGATTCTGCAGTTGGGAATAGTACTGATGCTTCGTCTACTGCGGCATCATCGGACACGGCATCCTCAAGTGTGTCTGCTGGTGGCGTCGACAGCTCGGACAGTACCGATGATGGTTCTATAACGACATCCGGTGTTTCCGCCTTCTCGACGGCTCACTTCTACCTCATCCCACTTCTACTTGCCCTGTCTGCAAAACTTTGCTAATTCGAGCAATCGCATGGCTGCCCCTGGCGATACGCATCTCGTAAATAGAGTTCGCTAATCCTTTACGCTGTTCATGAAAACGACATCAAATTTGCAATAAATAATGGCATAAACACTGGTGATTTCACTATTTTTCTATAACATCGCGGAAACTCTACCAATTGAATTAGTGGGAAATTGGTCTTTGGGAGCGAACTCATAAAATACATAGCGTTCTTGCTGAAATAATATATTGCAAAGTAGCACGCTGTACCTAGATAGAAAATCACTCATAATGCACTGATCATTATCGGGCACGCGTTACGCATCTCGTCTTAGTAATCAACAGCGGTGCCATTAACAGTAACAACATAAGTGACGAATATACTGGCAAAACGGTCTCCTCTGTATTCCGTTTGGTGAAAACCAAGTCCTGTCTCATGCCAGTTCCGTTTGGCTAGTTTTGTACTACAATGGACAAGCATAAATGTTAACTCGACAGAGGCGGAAGTCAAGGTGCGGAGAAACAGGCATCTAGCTATTTTGTGGGCATAACCGTTATGTCGACAGATGACGTTTACAACGTCTCTTCGCAGGAAGCTCTAGTGGTTGAAATATCTGCTAATGGCTGCGACCGCCGAAGACATCCGGGGCGTCGTGTTTGGCGACGACACCGTTCTGCTTCATGCCACTTCCGCTTGATCTGCCTGTAGAGCTCAACTGATTTGGCTGTGTGGGCAACATACGCGCCCAACAAAAGTTTCCTTTTAAGGTTTTGCAATTCTTTCGGTAGGTAAATTTAAAGGGACATCCGTCTGAATGGGATAATTGCATATAAACGCTCCTGGCAGCGACGGGGTTCCAAATGTTTTTTTGAAGGCCTTGGAATTTCTGTCAAATGGAATGATAGTAATAGGTTTTCAGAAGAAACTAAATGTGAACGGAATCGGGTTCGAGCGGAAACAACAGTTTAACTGTGTCCGTCTTTCCTATGAGTGAAATCGCGTGAAATGCATTGGTGGTGGTAGAACGCACGTTGATCTTGATGTCAAATTAAGGAATTTGGACCATCGGTGTGTCTTTCATAATAGTAGTCTCGCGTCTTTACAGTGCATTTCTGTTAAAGATGGCAATGTGTACTGTTTGTTATTATTTCGAAACGCCTATCCGTTCACGGTTCTGAGGTACAGTAACTGGCCCCGACAGAGGCGGAAGACAACTCGTTGACGCAATGAGGACGTAGGAGAAAACAGACAACTAACTGTATTGTATGTATACGCGTTACTTCCATAAATGCCGCTCTTAACGTATCTACCTAAAAATTTCCGATGAGTGAAATTCCACCTTATTTTGCACACGATCGTCTAAACTCTTTCCTGACCACGACCAGCAGTTGAGTCCGGAACTACATCTAAGTTCATGCACGTTCTAAATTACTATACATCGAATGACATAGGGGCATTTTTTAATTACACGTCCAGAGAAAGAAATAATAAAGTGCCTATTTCGATCTCTTAGTGTGTAAAGTTTCCTAACCAAGGCACGTTGCTTTATCTGGATTGCAATTCCTGGCTACTTTCATCTGTTCATCTTTGACTCATCTTTGAGTCAGTCCCGTTTGAGAGGAGGAGAGAACAGACGAAGTTCCAGGAGGGGGGGGGCGATCAGAGCGTGAAGGAATACTTGTCGCATGAGAGTCTGTAAAAAACCGCAGACTGATAAGCTTGTTTAAGTAAAATGGAGGACACTGAGGCGCGGTCCTGGGACGGGGATGGTGGGATTAAGTGTCAGTGAAGACGCCGGTGCCCATTTTCAGTCGCTGCAGCTATGGTCGGTTTGATTCGTCTCATCTTCTCTCTCTCTCACTCAATATCAGCATTCCCACATCCCACGCCCGCAGTAACCTCCAGCACGACACTTCCCACCGGGGGTCTAACGGAGACAACAAAAAACTTTTCCACTCCCCGATTTTGTGCCCTTCACATAAAGAAAAAAAATCAAGAAACGCACAATGACCTACGTGCATTTGCATCCCAACGTCTAATTAATTTAACTGCTAGGCAAGGGCGATCCGCCAACGCTACTGCGTCAGGGAAATAATTTTAATTGACATTTAGCTCTCGAACGAATTTAAGATTACATTATACATGCGTGAATTGTCATAAATGGGAGCTTTTTTGCGTCAGAAGTAGATCTTCCTACACCTTTTTAACTATCCATATCTTTTAATACAAGGGCGACACATCACAGACCACATTTGTAAGAACTCAACCTTAGCCTTTCCCACGAGTAGTGTCGCAGCGTTATTCGCTACGAAAATCAAAAGAAAAATTTCACACTATGTTAGTGGTCACTTTTTACAAGGCGTATTTTTCTGAGATTGTCGAAAGAAGGCGCATTCAGGGCTGCCATGCTGCTGTGACCAAAAAAGTTTAGGATCATGTCACTCAGTGATCAATACAAAAATCTTACCTAAGTACACCTATTTCAATTAAAAACTTTAGCAAGAACTTCGTTAAATACTATTCGCCTCATTTTGAACCCGCTCTGACTCGGTAACCAGTTTTTAGGAACAAAAATATAAAATTCGACAAGCAATTCTCCCTTCAGGGTGAGGTTTGGTCCTGCAACCCCAACTCGCTGATGCCAAATCCCAAGATTTCTATAAGAATTTTTGTAAACGTGAATATCCTGATTTTAGAGATATCAAGTGTTTGCATCCTCCTTACTATCTTAATCCAGCGAGGGACTGAGCCACGGAGGGAGGAATGCTTATACGCCAGCCTTGATTTTCTCAGCTGTATGTTCACACGCACTTCCCTGCGAGGACTTCGAGCCCTCCTTGCGTCTTCTGTTATCTCAATCGAGCGAGCGACTAGGGTGATTTGCTAATGAAAATGTCCTGACGGCCTGGAACTCCGTCGGTTCCATCATAGTGGCCATGCACTGCGAGGTACCACGTGGTTTCCTGCCTGGCCTTCTGGCTGTGATTGCGCCCCTCTTAGCCTCTTAATTCAGTAAATGGCTGTGTCGGGAGAAAGTGTGTACATGCCACCTTTACTCGCTTCCCTGCGCGTGCTTCGAGATCTGTTTGTGCTCTCCATCCTTTCCCTAATCCAGGGCGTGGCTAAGTTGGGTATGTTATCTAATATTGTTTCAGTAAGCTAGCCATATGGTATCAATCAAGAGGGACTGCAGAACCAAACCTCCTCGTCTTTAGATGCTTTTGCGTTCGAGTCTTCGCCACCAGAGACCAAAAAATAGCTTTTCCTTGTCGAAGATGCCTACAATTTTATGCAATTCACTGTCGTTTAGAGCAATTCAAATGAGTTGACTCATTTGGTAAAGAAGCCTCATTTATCTAGTATCTGCCCCCATACTGTCAGCAATGGATGACGTTTGCATAACGAGAAAGTTATTCATCTTGCTCCCACTCTCAATTACAGTATTTAAGCCTCGAGAGCTTGCCGAGTAAGCGATGTTAGCCAAAGTCACGTTGCATCAAAAAATAATAATTCTTTTTATTTCTCTCATGGTCCTCCATTGTGTTTCTGAAGGGAGTATTTTAGAGTGCTTATGTGACACATCGCAGGTGCAGATTCGCGAATCCTCGAAATCTTGACGATTCTTTGTCCGGAATCCATTTGACCAAACGATTAGTTACTGTGTTTGTTAAGAGCGGTCACGAGCGTGCCTGTGTAGCTGAAGCCGCCGAAAGTGGTTTCATTGTACACTTTTGCTTATTTACGAAGGACAGGAAGACTTAATCACAAGACACATTCATAGTCTCAATGTTAACATCAGATAAATATCCTTACTATAGTCCACGTCTTCCTCAACATTTTTAGATTCTTCAATGAACGCCTACTGAGACTAGCAGGTAGGAAGTTGTGCCGAAATAAATGCCTACAGTGTGTTACCGGTCTCGTGAAAAGTTGGCCGAAATTCTTAAATGCATTTTCGACTAGGAAGGATTATAATGTGGCGTTGTAATATTAATTACAACGTAGCAGAATCCTCTATTAGTTCAAACTCGCCAGGATGTCATTTTTGAATGCACTTCTTTTAGACCTCCCGCAGAAATTGTATTTGGCAAAAATGATTACTTTAGTAGCCTGCATTTGTCATAGTGATTTTGGATGGTTTTATAAACATGCTCGAAAATGCTTTTTTCTTGTTTGATAGAAAACCGCATTGTCTTCATATTTTATGCTCTAGGCATGGTTATCTTTGGGTCTTAGAAGAGGTTCCAATTATGCAGTTTTTATGACCGTGCGATTCAGCATGGCAGGTGACTGTTCACCAGTGTTCTTCTTGAAGTGTAAAACGCACCCCGTATCCAATGAAAAACTGCATGAAATCTATACAGTATCTTCTAAAAAGTATAGAGGAATATATGATTTCCCTTCACCGGAACGCATGCGGCTTGTAGACTTAAATCTCTAAACGCTTATGTAACAACTGATCAGTCTCAAAAGTATTCCAGAATTAGGAAACGTTTCGCAAACCTAAATATACACTTTTTCAGACATAAAATGCAAAGAAAATCCAATTTTCTACCAAAGATTAAAACGAAAGCATATTTTTGCGCATATTTTCTATAAAATATATTTAAATTACTATGACCATCGAAAATCAATGTGAAAAATGCATGCTACTTACAGTGGATGTGCTAACTCATGAAATGTCAACCAAGATTTCGAAATGCGTTCTCGTTTCGAAAAGATTAATTAAGTAGTGTTCTAAAAACTAATCAGGATGCAGCATGAATCTATAATGATCCAGTTACCTCAGGGTGTCGGCTTTCGAAAGAACTTATTTTCGGCTGTATGCAAGATCTATACTCTGCAAAAAATGACTACTTATGTAGCATGCAATTTTCTCATTGATTTTCGATGCCCTTATAAATTCAACTTGATATTTCATGGCAAACATGCATAAAATTATTCATTCTTTTACTTATTCGGTAGAACATCACGGCGTCTTCCAATTTCATACTCAAAAGAAGAGTAGAATTCGGT